ATTACCTTGGTAGAAAGTTTGAGATAATGCTTTAATTAACTACATGTATAGCTATAACCAATTGATGGTGGATTTGTTGGTAGTTTTTTTTTTTTTTCTCATTTGGTAGTTAAATTATGCTTTAATTAAATATTCGTGGTGCTTGCAGAGGTAATTTTGGCCTTGGTGGCAAGGTTCAAAATTTCGTTACATATTGGGTGTATCGATCAATACGTATGATATTGGGGCCCCTTTGATACATCTTTACACAATGTGTTTTAGGGTCGTACCTATTTTAAGGGGTAGACGGGTCTTAAACCGATCCCTTTGAACAAGTTTCAAAGAAAAAACTAAGAAAAAATAGCGAGCCAAGATACAGCCCAATACACCCTACATATCGGGCTGTATCAATATTTTATACCCTTGGGGAGGTGGAGGTATAGGAATTATAGGAATTATAAGGGAGTAAGGGACAGTGAGGGAAGATTTCATGCTAATTATGTTCATCTCCTCTATGCAAGCTGAGGTTTGTGCTCTAAGAAGATGCCTACAATTATGCTTATACCAATGGTGGAATGTGACAACCAATTTTTGGTGCATCTTCTGAGTCATGATGGCTTGGGTCCTTGCAATGTCTTTTATCAGTTTTTCATGATGCGTGTGAATTTAAATCTCTTCTTACGGTTTCTTTTCACTATATTTGCAGGGAAGGAAATCAGTAAGCGGATTCCCTTGTCAATGGGTGTATTGAGGGTTTCTTTTCACTATATGTGCTCTCTAAGAGAATTAGAAACTTGGTCACTCAGGATTGAATTGGTTTGTCAGTTTTGTTGTTTTTTCTCGGCTTGTGTGGATCGGAGGGAGAGAGTTATATAATCTTTGGGTTTAGGGGCAAGGCAGGCTATGTCCTCCTTCATTGTATCTTTTTTATTATCTTTTTGATAATGGTTAATAAAATATAAAATAGCCCCCTCCACTTAGACTAAAGTTTGGGGCCTTCGAAAAAATAAGAGATATAGCAAGATTTATAATATGCTTAATTTAAGCTCATTTATTGATATACTTTTGGGTATCAATGTGTGTCAATATGATCGATATCTATTTTTATTTTAAAAAATTTATATATCGATATATCCAAACATATTTAGAAATACGATACCGATATTATATACCCTATATCATATCCTTATTTTAATCCTTAATTCTATCATAACTTTTAGCTTCCCCTTGGAACATAATTTGTTAGGGGCAAATCATCCGAGGAGACCCAACTCTTTTCCATGCCTATTAGATCACGTAAAAGATCATCTAAATTTGATAATAAAACAGTCACAGTCATAACTCATAAATCATAATTATATTTAGCAGCAAAAATGTACTTGAAAGTTTTAAAGAGGTACAAGTATACATGTTTTACACTTGGGAATATCTCTCAGATTTCAGGAGACCAGATCCGACCCATAGATGGGCCTTAGGCCCCCATAGCAGTGGCTCTCTGTTTACTATCATGGCCCCCAACAAATGAACACATCCCACAGCCCCACTCCCAAGTCCCAACTACATGTAATCAAAATGACTTTACTTTTCAACCCACTCTTCCTTGGGCGTTATTATATTATTGTCTTTTGCTGATGCCCGATTTCTTAGTTGAACTTTATCATAGGGTTTTTTTACTACAGATTATAACATCACATTCACATGCGATTAAAGGGGTGGAAACAGAGGGAATTCGAATTCAGTCCACACAAAATCATCCTCACACTATGTTCACAGTCACCTACCCGCAGTTGTGTATTGAGAATAACTCCCCATATATGAAAACATACAAATACTTTTAGAAAGACTGTGAACACGGTGTAAGGACTGTTTTGGCATAGGTGGATTTTAGTAATTGGTGCTAGAAATGTTGAAATATAAGAGATATGGCAAGTATACCTATTCACGGGCCGGGTTTTGGGCTTGACTTAAATTGCATCACGTTTTGGCTTTGAACCCGGTCCATTTAAATTTTAACAAAAGCCAAATTCGAATCCAGTCTATGAACAAGTCCAGTGGTAAGATATATGTCATAAACAATTCAAATCTCCTATCCACAAAAACAGACTCACTGCACACTAAAGTTATACATCAAGATTTAGTCAATGATTTGTACCATCTTTATAATCTTTTTACTGAGAAACCTTTTTATTAATGGAAAATGAAATGAGTTCTCTCATCAAAAGAATCAAAAGAAATAAAGAAAGCAAAGAAGATGACAAATGATGATGATAAGGGCTCAAATTAACATCCACTCAGAAATCATTGCAAGGTGAAATGAAATTGAGATCTTCAAAACATTTAAGTTATAATTAAGTATTACATAATTAAACATTAAATAAAGTATTAAAATTTAACGGAAAAAAAAATTGAAAATGTTTGAAGCCAAAAAGCGACAAACATCATAAGAAGGAAAACGATTTCTTTTTTTCTTTTTTAATTCGAAAATAAGGAAAGAGCTAATGGTTTACCCAGTGGGACGACAAAGCTTGGCTGTATGTAAAAAACAGCGCAAGGCTGGTTTGAAGCCTCCTGCACATGATGCACATGATATGTTATCTCATTAGCTTTTATTTATATTTTTAATTAAGAAAAAATAATGATTAATTTAAATTACTCTTTTACGGTTTTACCCAACATCCACGTCAACGTTTTATGTACATAAGCTGCATAACAGCCCCTTTCACAAATAAAGAATTCACAAGCAGATGTAATCTCGTAAATAAAAGTTTATCCAATTAAAGTCAAATTCAGTCTAACTGTCCAGTTTCTTATCGAAAATTTTACTGTTTGGCAAAGATAGTCTGGGTTTGGGAGCTTTTCGTTTCCATTCAATCCCTTTTTTTTGGCTTTTTATAGTTAAAAGAATTTTAGTTATAAATACTTTTTTACCAAACTGGAAACAGCCAGATCTTTTTTTTTTTTTTTTTCTTTTATCCTTACACTGAGGCCAATTTCTTCGATAGAATAGGTTGCCGGAAGGCACTAATTCGTGCAGGCGCCCCACACACGCCTCACAGCCCCATCCCAGCTATGTATTAGAAACATCTATCTTCCTCTGACAAGTATTAAAGATATTTTTAATGCACTCTAAGATGTGTAAGGTGCCTGTGGGGCATAAATTTGAACTACTCAATGTTTTAAAAATCGAATTGGATTGGACAGTTGGACCAGAAAAACTTGAAATTGGTCATTTGATCGGTTCCGTTTTATCCTAGAATCGTCTTTTGGTCAAAAAACATTGATTTGATTAATAAATTATTGATCCAAACAGTCCAATCGTTTGAATCGTTTAGTGGTTTTTAACTGTTTTTTTTTTTAAATTTTTATCAAAATGAACTGTTTGTTCAATTCAAACGATCAGACCATTCAACCCAAAAACCAGACCCCTAAACAATTCTTTGTCCAGTTCAATTTTAAAAACTTTGAAACTACTATCTCTTCCATTCCATATAGGATGTTTTGTAAATCCGTGCTTTGGATTCGATTGAGAAGTGAGAATGGAGAAGGCCCACCTTAACGAAGCCCTCGTTCCATCTAATGAATATATAAAAGTATATATTCTCTGGTCTGAACCTTATTATTAAGTTTGACAGGGCTTTTCTTTCTAAAAAAACATGAGAATGGGCCCATCATCATCTGAACAAAATTATTCGTCTTCATTTCTTTTTTTTTTTTTTTCTAACTTGGAGTTGGACGTGAATGTGCAAGGAGCGAGTGGGCCTTCTTCAACTTCACCCACCCAACCAATAAGTCCGTACCTTACGTTGGTCTTCGTCTTCAGTCCTCACATATGATTCTTAGTAGTGTTTGTGGGCCCACTTCATCCAGACGAAGTGGGCCTGGTTGTGTATCCACTATCCAGTGGTTATTGTCAACTCGGTCTCTAGATTTGATCATCCCAAAGAAAAAACGCTGGATTTGGCTTTGATAATGCTGCAATTGATTTTTTTTTCTACAAATAATAGTTGAGATCCAAATTTGAATAAAGGTAAATATAAATAATATAACTATAAAATTGGAATTGGATCCGATCAGTTTAAACTTTACAGACTACAGCCATAAGATAAGCCCATAGGCATAAAGCTTTGGAGAAGGGAGGTGTTGGAGTTGGACCACCAAGCCATATTAATCACAGGCCCATCTCATTCCCATATGGGGGGATATCACTTCACGAGGAGAGGACTGTAGGAGTAGGGGAACACACAACATCAGCTGGTGAATCACCCAAGCCCAAGTGTCAAGCGTGCACTCACAGCCAATCCATGAAATGATAGGACTCACGAGCAGCAATAGCACAAAGGTGTGGTGTAGGCGCCTTCCGCCTGGGCGGTGGCCGGTGACCGGTGGTAGAATTTCGAAAGAAGAACAAGTTATAAATCTATGGTTATGCACCTCCGAAGCTCCGACTCTGCCATTCTTTTTTATTTTGATCTACATGGTTTAACTGATGGATGCGACCGGCCAAGCCACATGGTCCTTATCTGGAAGTTTAACCCAAAATCGAGATGGGAATTCCCTAAATGGCTAATAAATCATCTCTGTACTCTGTTAGAGTGGTTGCAAATGCAATGCAACCATCTATCTCCAATTCTCCATTAACCCAGATGGGAACAGCGAGCGACAAGATCATGAAACCCCGCATCCATTGTCCCAATAATCTTGGGCCTTTGAAGCAAAGGAAAGAAAAATAAAATAAAAAATTGGAGGCAGAGTGAAACTAAACTTCCTTGCTAAGATAAGAAATACATTTCTTGTACTCAATCAAGCTTTCATTATTTATTAGTATTATAATAGAATATTAACAGGGAAATTTTTAACAGCACTGTCCAAATTCCAAAAGAAGAATAACACTAACCAATTAACCATCTATTCTATTCTAAAATTTACAGTGTCTGCCTTGCTGAGCTCTTTTCCCAAACATACTCTGCCTCTGCACTTTCCAGGATTTAGGCCAATTCTGTTAGTTGGTGTTGCCTAAACCCCAAGATGCCTGTCTACGCAATTAAGCATCATAGGCAAAACACAAGTAACCCTTTTCACTTCACGTTTCATCATGGCATCGCCCACTTTCCTCCAAAATATCCGGTTCACGTACCCTCCCTAGCAGAGCTTTTACACTATAATACTCTATAAATACCACAGTAATCCTGTGACCCATCTTCCAATTGGACCTACTCTGTAGTCTCTCCCTTTTGCCTTTTTCTTTGCTTATGTAAAGCCGTTACTCCATCTCTCTCCGCCCCTCGCCCCTTCTCTCCCCTTATTTAAAGCTGGTCTCTCTCCTTCTATCTCTCTCTCTAATTCTATTCTTTAAACAATGGCTGCTTTGAGGCTTAGAAGCATTATTCATTTGCTTCTTTTCGTTCTTGCCTCAGAAATCGCCCTTTGTCTCTCTTCTAAGGTCAATTGGTGTTGCAGTTAGATTGAATATCTGTTTTTGAATTTTTCATTTTTTTTTCCGCCTTCTTTATATTTTTCTGTGTTTACACGATTCTTTCGTTTCTTTTCCCCATTTTTAACACTTCAGTGCACTGCAGGTTTATGTAGTTTACATGGGTCGCAGAACTACCGATGACCCAGATGAGGTTTTGAGGCAAAACCATGAAATGCTAACTGCCGTTCATGGAGGAAGGTCTGTACTCAATGCTCAATGATGGTGGACTGAATCTTAATACGAGATTTTCTCCAATGGGTTCCTTCTTTTTGTTCTTTGTTTATTTATTTTCTTCCCATTCTGTCTTCTACAGCATTGAACAAGCCCAGGCTTCTCATGTATATAGTTATAGACATGGTTTCAGAGGATTTGCAGCAAAGTTAACTGATTCGCAAGCTCTGGAAATATCCAGTAAGTTGGTTGTTAATTCAAATCATAATTACTATTTTTCTAGTTAAATTACATATTTATATCTAATCCGAAATTACTTGATATCCCAGGGATGCCTGGTGTGGTTTCTGTGTTTCCAAATTTGAAAAGAACTCTGCACACCACCCATTCTTGGGATTTTATGGGTCTTGTGAGCGACGAAGAAATGGAAATTCCTGGTTACTCCACCAAGAACCAAGAAAATGTCATCATTGGTTTCATAGATACAGGTGAGTAATCTCATTGAGTTCCCTCCTGAACGAAATTTGAGAATCTTATGGACACCCATATTCATATTTTGATTATTTAGCAATTTCATTGACCCTCAACAGATGAAAATTAGCAGAATGTTCTGTCATATAGGATCTGCTTACTTCAAATTCCTCATTTAGCTTTTGAGAAATTCCATTTGTGTTCGTCATTTGAAACGTATGCTGAATATGAAGGACTCCACCGTGCCTCTCCAGTGGCAGTATCCCACCAAGTCTGACCTATCATTTATAAATAAAAAATCTATGAAAACTGGTATCCTTGTTATAAGATTGATCTGTTTTTTGTTCCGGTAATTGTTGTAGGCTTCATTCCATTAAACCTAATCAGTGCATTTTGATAGATTTGTGGTTATCCTTTCTGTATTTGTTGTTTGATATTCCCTCTTGCGCCATCATTCTTCTACTCTTTTATGCCAAATACTTACATAACTCATTAACTCTCGAATTATGTCTCTCCTCACCCCCTCCCCCCACGTGAACGCTTTTGGTTTTCTTAGTTACAAGGTATGCTTATCTGATGACTAACAAAGCTATCTCTGGGAAGAGCTGTTTGATCTCTCCATGCACAGAAGATCTATGCTCTATGTTAAAACATTTAGGTGACTTTGGTTCAAGTTCAACAGAACCAATATGTGTATTTTTTTATGGGTAACAAAATAGAGAGAATTTGCTTAGGAACAGCTTATTGGACTGCAAAAATCTTTTTTTTTTTCTTCTTGAAAGGTAAATTGGTGTATTGTATTGCTTAAAAGGAGGGTGAGTGTCCCTCAAAAAGTACAAATGTATTAAGATACATAGATCTATACACCTATATAAAAGTATAATGAGTGTCCTTCCTCTTTTCACTATTCATTCATTTACAAAATCCACAAAAAGAATCCTTTCCCATTGTTTCATCCCTTTTAGTTATGTCTTTAATTCCTTCTGTGCACCTTGCCCAATCTATCAACTGCCTTTCAATCTTCCCAATTAGCTTCTCAGGATCAAGACCCACTTGGTTAAAAACCCTGCCTGTTCTGCTCCAACCAAATGGATCAGTTTAGTGCCCCTTGAAGAATCTACCATAATCTCCTACCTCTCTTACTAAAAGACACTTGGTAGGCAAAGCTGGAATTACTGAGGACAGGTCCCCTGGCAAAACCAGGGCTATTTTAAATAGCTGCAAGAAATGGGGTCGACTACATGAATCCTATTTCACCATTCTGTTCTGTTTAATGCCGTATCCATTGTTAAGTTATTTACAACATAAGATATCTAAAAATCTATTTTAGGACATAAGGTATTAACGTGTATTATCATTCAGGAATATGGCCAGAGTCCCCAAGTTTCAGCGATTATGATATGCCTCCAGTGCCCTCCAGATGGAAGGGGCAATGCCAAGCTGGAGAGGAATTTAATGCTTCATCTTGCAACAGGTATATATTGACAAAACCTTGAATTTTATATATGTTAATGAAGTTTTCTAGATGATACAGCTCTTTGGCTTTATTCATTTACTATGCAGAAAAGTGATAGGAGCAAGGTATTACTTAAGCGGCTATGAAGCTGAAGAAGATTCAGTAAAGACATTGACATTCAAATCTCCACGGGACAGTTCTGGTCATGGAAGCCACACAGCCTCAACAGCAGCTGGTCGGTATGTGACAAACATGAATTTTAATGGGTTAGCCACAGGAGGAGCTAGAGGAGGCGCTCCCATGGCCAGGATTGCAGTATACAAAACATGTTGGGACTCTGGTTGCTATGATGTAGACTTACTAGCTGCATTTGATGATGCAATAAGAGACAGGGTTGACATCTTGTCTCTCTCTGTGGGCCCTGATGCTCCTCAGGGTGATTACTTTAGTGATGCCATCTCTGTGGGGTCATTCCACGCTGCTAGCCATGGGATTCTGGTGGTTTCTTCTGCTGGAAATAGTGGCACTCCAGCCTCTGCAACAAATCTTGCGCCTTGGATGATAACAGTTGCTGCTAGTTCAACAGATAGGGACTTCATATCTGATATCATACTAGGAGATGGAACTAATTTCACGGTAAGCTCCTTAATTGTTCTTCAGAGGTTCAACTGATATTCCTTTTCTCTAAGAAGCTTTCTACTATTGGATAGGGTGAAAGTCTCACTCTTTTTGAAATGAATGCCTCAAGACGGATAATCTCTGCTTCAGAAGCCTATGCTGGATATTTCACCCCCTATCAGTCCAGGTGAAGCAAAATATTCTTGGTATTTAGTAGATATGAACATATGTCAAATTTTTAACCATTCCTATTTGTTATTGTAGTTTTTGTTTAGAGAGCTCTTTGAATAGTACTAAAGCTAGAGGGAAGATTCTGGTTTGCCGGCATGCTGAGAGTTCTTCGGAGTCAAAGCTGGCAAAGAGTGTGGTAGTAAAAGAAGCTGGAGGAGCTGGAATGATTCTTATAGATGAGGCAGATAAGGATGTTGGAATTCCCTTTGTGATCCCTGCTGCAATTGTTGGAGAGAGAACTGGTGACAAGATTCTATCCTATATTAATCATACACGGTTTGTTTCCTCCTTCAGAATCACAACAACCAAATAAGATTTTCATTATTTTTGTTCTCTAATTTGGATGGTTTTCCATAAGCATTTTCAGGAGGCCAACTTCCCGTATCTTGCCTGTTAAGACTGTACTAGGATCTCGACCTGCTCCTCGGGTTGCAGCATTTTCTTCGAAAGGTCCTAATGCTTTGACTCCGGAAATTTTGAAGGTAGGGCTTATTACATAGCTCAAACATCTCATTTGGTTTGCTGGGTGTCTTACAGTTTCTTTTTGGGTGTTTAAATGTGTCTAGCCTGATGTCGCAGCACCTGGACTAAATATCCTTGCAGCTTGGTCTCCTGCAATTGCAAATTTGAACTTTAACATTCTCTCTGGAACTTCTATGGCATGTCCACATGTAACAGGAATTGCAGCCTTGGTAAAGGCTGTATATCCATCATGGTCTCCATCAGCAATCAAATCGGCGATTATGACTACTGGTAAAATTCCAAATTTTAAAGGACCTTTTTATATATAACTTAAATCTTCATTTGATGACCATTTATGAAATGGCCCTGTTCTTATCTTGATCTTTTTCATCCTTGAATTTTTCAAGCTTGTCCTGTAGGTAATCCTATTTTTGAGTTATGTACAAAATGGTTTTCTTTAGGAAGAGTATGCAGTCTCTTACTCTTTTGTTTTATTAGTGAAAAAATGATATTGATGACAATAACACAAATGTTAGCTTGTACAACTTTCTAAAATACAATTATTATTCATGGCTTTCTTCTTGAGAGTTGAGCAAAAGGTTAACAGCTTTCAACGATGGCCTTTAACGCCAAGTGGTTATTCTGCTGAAGACTTAATTTTGACCTTGTTGTTTCTCTCAGGATTGAAATTTAGTTTTCCTTCAGTCTGATAGAAATTTTATTGGCATAATTGTTTTTTAACAAGAATTTTCTTGGTCAAACATCATGTCGTTGAGTTTTTAGAATCATGTATTAACAGTTAACATCTTTTGAAGAGTCTGACATTGCCTTGGAAAAATGCAGCTACCATCTTGGATAAGAATGGCAAACCCATCATGGTGGACCCTGAAGGAAGAAGGGGGAATTCTTTTGATTATGGCTCAGGCTTCATTAATCCAACAGGAGTCCTAAATCCTGGTCTAGTCTATGATGCAAAACCTGTTGATTACGAAAGTTTTCTCTGTTCAATTGGCTATGGTGAGAGGTCAGTGCACCTGATTACAAGTGATAACAGCACATGTAATCACACGTTGGTAACAGCATCTGATCTAAACTACCCATCGATTATAGTGCCCAATCTTAAAGATAGTTACACAGTCATTCGAACTGTAACTAATGTGGGGGAGCCAAGAAGCATCTATAGGGCAGTAGTATCTCCTCCCCCTGGAATTAATGTTACTGTCACTCCCAAGTTTCTAGTCTTCAACAGCTATGGCCAAAATATCAATTTCACTGTGAATTTCAAGGTGGTTTCTCCATCAAAAGGCTATGTATTTGGGTCCCTAACATGGAAGAAAAGAAAGCAAAGAGTTACCAGCCCCCTGGTGGCCCGCATTGCATCTTCTGATTTTGGATTGATGAGATAATAAGGCCAAGGTTGATTAAATTCTGATGATGAAGTTAAAGACAAAGCATGAAAAAGAATACAAGATGAGATGCTAATACACGAATTCTTACAGTTGATACTTTGCTTTGGAGCAAGTGGGAAGTACAGTTGCTCGGTCATTATTAAGGCTTTGATTGACATTAAACAACCAAGACAAGGTGAAGGGCATGGCATCTGTTATTTTTATGTGATTCTTCTACTGCAGATTGAACGACTCCTGTATACAAACGAAAAATTATTAGAGGAATGGAAAGATTATAATTTTATATTTTGACCAACAGCTTAGTTCTCCACTCTTTAATTTATTATTCTTATAATTTTATGCAACTAGCCCTTTTCATCTTTATCTGAATGGTCGGTGTGAGAATTTAATTCTGAATTTGAACTGGCATACGGTATCATTGTCTGTTGTTTAGAGTGGGAGGCCTTTTAGCGCTTAAGTTTTGTTTTTTGTTTTTCATACAAAGGCAGGTTTGTTTTGGGGCAGATTTTATTGTCTTGGCCTTGGCCCTTTTGACCTTTGGGAGTACAGTCAGTACAGGTGAGTGGTTAGCATTAGCAACCAGAGTAATGTTTAATTGTTAATTGGGAATCTGGGATTATTGTTCTGACAAATTGTTAAATACACATTTATAAAATAAAATAGTAAGAAAGGCGATTTAAATATGTTCAAACTAAAGAAAAAGTCATAAATCACAAGAATATTCAATTAAAAAGTGGTGCACCGCACACCAAGCTTCCTCAGTTCCTCTAGCTACATCATGATCTGACCAACCAAGGGATGAGAGTGTCAATCGTGGCCAAATGGGTGGTCTATTGGCCTCGTGGAAAACCAGAATTATTGGGATGTATGCGGTTGATGCAGGTGGTCAGTTCTTCTTCTTAAGTGGTCTATTAAGAGTTGGTCCTCGTGCGTTTTATGGTAACTGGGGGGCAACTAAGTTGGCGGGTCAAATGAAAAAGAAAAAAACCTACATTCATGTTTTGATATTAGTGGGTCCTTACCCATGTTCTTTACTTTTCATGTAAATAATGTAATGACCATTTTATTCATAAAAATTTATTATTAAAAAGGGCATTTTTGTCCCATTCAAGTGTTGGTAACTTTCCCACCTAGGGAGAAAGTTATTTATCCACGCAGGGTAAGTGATATCCATGAAAATAAACTTTCCTAACTCCCACATAAACCTGAAAAAAGAACATGGGATTCTTGGTCAATGGGAACCAAAATCCCATTGATCAACTTTCCCCCCTCTCAAAATCCAAAAAAAGAACACCCCCTAAGTGGAATAGTTGCCCCCGCTCGGTGTCTCCATCGGATGATTGCCCGAATGTTCGTCATGGTTCGCCGGTCGGAGAGTTCCAAGGGCCTGAACTAATGACCCTTCCTAAGTTCCTATTCCCCCTGGGTTTGTCGAGGATGTAATTTAGCTGCCTACGGTAAATGGAATGGTTGCTGATGTGGTTTTTGCATGTAAAGCCCCCCATGCAGCTTTGAACGTTGGGGGACGTGTTCCCAAGAATAGATTGATTATGAATACTATAATGCCAACCATTAATTGTAGCAGGAATGTAATTATTTTGGGTTCTCCACTCGACGCCCTGTCGAATTCCCAGGAACCATTTCTGGCATCTGTAGGTGCTGATGTGGCATCCCACAACTCTTCCTCTTCTCATTCCCCATCTCAATCCATCTGAGTTGCCTTTGGAGGCCTCGACTAGTTGCCTCCCTAGTACGTTGTATGATAACGTCCAGCCCATGCACGTTGATCCCCCGCTTCTATCCCGTGGGTTGCTTCGTAAAAGGAAATGCTTTGATGATACTGGTTGATCCGCGTATTAGGCTTAAGAAACAGGCCCGGGTCGGGCCCCCATCAAATGAACCCAATTTGGATGAGTTGGCTGTGGTGGAAAGGCCCAAACTGCCCCACCAGGCGCCATGAGAATACTGTGTTAGAACTGTCAAGGTGCTGGGGGTTGTCTGACAGTTCTTTATCTTCAAAGACTCCTACTGAAACACAAACCGGATGTCTTCTTCATTTGTGAAACAAAGAATAACTTAAGTCCACCCAAATACCTTCTTCGATGCCATCTTGTGGTCGTTCTGGCGGTTTCTGGTTTGGTTGGTCCAACAATGTATCCCTTAACATTCTCAAGCTCTCTGATAATGCAGTGATCTGTTCTATACTTAATATGCCTCACTACCGTTGTTGGGATCTTCTTTGTTACTATGTTCACCCGTCCACTGAGGCTCGTCAGCGCTTCTTAAATGAGATTCACTCCTATGCAATCTCGACGGATAAGCCATGGTGCTTGTATGGTGATTTGAACATGATTTCTTCTGCATCTGAAAAATTGGGTGGTAGAGTTCTGTAGGTATCAGACTTCAACCCCTTGGAATCCTTAGTTGCAAATTGTGGACTGATTGACATCGGCTTTTTTGGCCCTAGATTTTCTTGGTCCAACCAACGTTCTGATGATGGTGTTATTCATATGAGGTTAGACCGATTTTGAAGAATTCTGGGTTAAAGAACCACAGTTCCGCTCTTGCTTCCATGATATTTGGAATAAGTCTTCTGGTACGTTGTTTTCAAAACTAAACCCTGCACTTGTTGATCTCCGGAATTGGTCCAGCTCCAATTTTGGTAATATCAAGAGGCATATTAATCATATTGAAAATCAACTATTGCATGAACAATCTCTCCCATGCCAATCTATTTGCTCCCAAAAAGTTGTTTTCCTGTAGAATGAATTATCTGCCTGGCTGAAGAGGGAGGAGACCTACTGGAAGCAAAGAAGCCGGATCAGTTGGAATGTTGATGGAGGTTGTTGTACAAGATTCTTTCATATCTCGGTTTCCAACCGAAAAAGGAGAAATGGAATTCATTGCCTTAAAAAATCTGATGGGTCTTGGACATCTTCAAAGAGCGAATTTGAGGAAATCCTTGTAAACCACTTTCAGGCCCTCTTCTCTTCTTTGAATCCGGATCTTTCTGATTTCAATATTCCTGACATTGCCCACTCTATTTCTGATAAAGACAACAACTTCTTGATGAAAATCCCGGATGAGAGGGAAATTTCCCAAATACTGTTCAGTATGGGCCCATGGAAATCTCCTGGGCCCGATGGCTTCCCTACTGGTGCAATCTAGCATTGCTGGGACTTGATGAGACTGAAATTATCTCTTCGGTGCAAAGTATTTTCATAAATCCTTCATCCATCAGTGAAGTAAACCCTACATTTCTGTGTTTAATCCCAAAAAATGATTCTGTGGAAGGCCCCCAATGATTTCAGGCCCATTGGGCTGAGCAACGTGCTGTACAAACTCATTGCAAAAATTGTTACAAACAGATTAAAGCCACTACTTTCCAAGCTCATCTTCCCTTTCTAGTGTGCATTTGCGCCGTGAAGGAACATAGTTGATAATTCCATCATTGTGCAGGAGGTCCTCCATTCCATGAAATGTCAGAAAGTTAGGTATGGGTATTTCATGCTGAAAATTGACTTATCAAAAGCATATGACCGTATTGAATGGAACTTTCTCATGAAGACTTTGAATTGTTTCGGATTCTCTAAGGCTTTCTACAATCTTATTCTATGCTGTGTATCTTCCCCGGGATTCCCCATCCTTGTTAATGGTTGCCCAAGCAAATCCTTTTCTCCTCGAGGCCTTAGACGGGGTTGTCCACTTTCTCCATATCTATTTATTCTCGGTAACTCTGGCATGAAGCTTATTCATTTGTTATTTGATGATGACTTGGTAATTTTTGGAAGGTGTTGTTCTTCTAATGCAAACCAAATCTTAGAGGTGCTTAACTCCTTTTGTAAAGGGTCGGGCCAGGAAATAAATCTCCAGAAATCTGTTATTCACTTCAGTGCTAACACTCATTGGAAAAGGAGATCCCTCGTTCTTTCAAAATTTGGTGTTGCCACATTGAAGGCAAACGACAAATATTTTGGCGGTCCCCTGCTTCTGGGAAGGGCTAAAGTTAAAGAGTGGAGATACTTAGTTAACTGACTTAAGTCCAAATTGGCAGGCTCGAAGTAGTGCACTCTGTCCCATGTTGGTAGGTCTGTTCTCATTAAGTCTACTCTCCAAGCAATTCCTCATTACATCATGCAGACTTACCTCCTTCCTAAGCAAACATGTACGGATCTTAATAACATTTGCCATAACTTCCGGTGGTCTGATTCTGAATCAAACAGTTTGCACCTTAGAAAGTGGTCCTTGTTTTGTCAGCCTAAAGCTTGTGGTGGGCTGGGTTTTTGTGACTTGGAAGTGACTAATAGAGCCCATATCATGAAGCTGGGTTGGAGGTTACTCAAGTTCCCTTCATCCCCGTAGGTAAAGGTTTTTCGTGTAAAATACTTCAGAAATTCCAACTTTTAGAAGTTAAAACCAAAATCGAGGGACACATATTTGGCGAGGTACCCTTGCTTGCAGATCTCACCTTCATAAAGGTTGTCGCTGGATTATTGGCAATGGGTGGAGTATTGATGCTATATCAGACCCTTGGCTGTCTCGTGACATGGATCTTTCCTTTAAGCATCATAGAAATAACTCATTGAAAGTGGTGGAACTCATCAATCATCATTCAATGACTTGGAACCATGGACTGGTGAATCAAATTTCCACCTCATTCAGCTCAAGAATTTTTTTCCTTAGATCTCCCGTTGCATAGTAATGTTATGGAGGACCACCTTGTTTGGACCCTTACTCCCCATGGGCATTTCACCACCTCATCAGCCCATCGGCTTCTGTATTCAGAACTCCCTTGTTCTTTAAAGGCGACGTCCTTGTTTGGGGACTGTGAATGGTCCAAATTTTGGAAACTCAAGTGGACTTGCCCCAAGATTATGATCTTTCTTTGGAGGGCCTTAAATGATGCTCTCCCCACAAATGATAGGCTCAAGGTGTGGAAGTCCAATCTTGAGTCTTGCTGCCCACTTTGTATGTCTAAGGAGGAATCAGTTGACCATTTATTCCTCAAGTGCCCTATTGCAAAATTAGTTTGGTTTGGCTTCGAACTGGGTGTCCGAACTGAGTTCTTTCAGTATCTACTAGAACTACTATCCTTTTGGATCTCCCCGGGGGCTCCATCTTATTCCTTTCCTCATCCTCCTTACCTATTGGTCTTCTCCATCATTTGGCACATTTGGCTAGCTTGAAATGCGATTATATTCCAGGGGGAAGTTTGGTCTCCTGATCTGATAATTGGTAAGGCCTGGGAATTTGTTTCTCGATCTTCGGTTGGTGTTCTTCCTAATTTTCAAGATCCACCTGCTGCTTTAGTTCCACCTCCCCCTAGCAGATGGTGTAAGCCTCCTACTAGACTGGTTAAGATCAACTTCGACGGTGCCACTTCAACAGTTCGAGCCACTGTTGGATGTACCATTAGGGACCAGTATGGAACCTTGATCTATGCTCGAGTTGTTCCTCTTTGTACGTGCTCTGCCTTGGAATCTGAGGCCCATGCTCTACTTGAAAATCTCTAGTTTGCATTATGTTGTGGTATTTCCAAGGCAATCTTTGAAGGTTATTATTGTGCTACTCATCACCTGCAGGGTGTGGGCTCATACAAGATGCCACTACCACTCTACCAGTAGCAACGTTTTCGAATCGCCGTTGACCTGGACGGTTGGACCATTCGGCTCGGGAACTATCCAAGCAACCGGTTCCGTTTTACCCAAAACCCGAAATCTGATAAAAACCCGTTGAAAAAGTCAATAAACCATTGATCCGAGTGATCAAACCGTCGATCCATCGATCCATTCAACGGTTTTTGACCATTTTTTATTTTTTTAATTTTACTGTCAGAATAGGCCATCCATTTAAACCAGACGATCAGACCGTTGACCCAAAAACCGGTGCCCAGAACGATTCCATTTACGGATCGTTTTTTAAAACGTTTACCAGTAGTAATACCACACTACCACTCTTCATCTTTCGGCTCGCTCGCCGCGCATGCTGTAGGGCAACCTTCCACAAAGTCAGGCCAGCACCCAGCATCCATTATCACGACTCATGAAACACGAATGCTAGTGTTTCTGACAGGCTTACCCAAAACACAAAGGAAAAAGTGTTCTGACAGGAATTGAAAGTATTAGTTTTCTTTTTCTTTTTTGTCCTTTTTGAAAGAATTCCATATCATACCTAAAAAATGATAAACCAATCAATTATATTATATCATCCATCCAATTGGTAACCAATCAAGTGCTATGGTTTCTGATCGGCTAAGGTTTTTCAGGCATCAAACCTTTCCGTTCCGGTATTATAAAATGTCTTTTTGAAAGCATAAAAAAGAAACCGTTAAATTAATTGTAATTGTTTTTTTTCCTAATCTTTTTCAATTACAGAGTATTTCTACCTTTGTAAAAAAAAAATGAAATCGACCCATATCACTCCAGAAGGAAGGAAGAGAACCTTAGGTTGTCATGAACGGATCTATGGAATATGGGTCCAAATTTTTAGTCCATGGATCCAATGGTGCAACCTAGATTCGCGAAACCCTTAAAGCCCAGCAGACTTTATAAATTATACTTCACGTGGATGGGATAAACGGATGATGAAGAAGAGCCCATGGTCCACAACCACGAGGAGTGGTTTAGTTCCATCTCTCTACTCTAATTGTGGCTTCAAAGTCCAAACAACGAAAATCCTTAGAAAGACTAGGAAAATGAAGGTCAATCAGCAAACCTTTGATCTAAATAATATTAGGAATGGCTACAGTTATCCAATAGTTACAACGAGTATTGATGTTAAGTAATAGAGGTTACAATGGCGGAGGTCCTCGGGGCTGAAACTCCGACGGATCAACTAAACCTTCTAACACAACCAGATGATCCAAAAGTATTGACTTCTCATTTTCCAGGGTTTTAATCCCATTGTCAACCTCTTTCAGTTCCCTATCCAATACAAAGCTCTCTTCCTCCAACAGCAAATACTTCCGTCTCAGTGCACGGTACTCATTTCCAGATCTTGAGGAATCTGGCAAGGAATCAGAGGTTGATCTCTCTGGCTGTTGAAATGATGGAGAAACTTCATCCTTGAGGTTTCTTTTCAGAACCTTCTTTGTTGTCTTGAAATATGGAGGCAGCACCTCTTGGATCCCTTTGAGATTCTCTCCCTGTGGCTGGAAAACTGAGGTTCCTCGTCCTTGAGTCAAGGATTTCTTTTTCCGAGGCTTAGGGTTTTTGACCTCCTCTGGTAGCAACATCCGGGAATCTTGCATTCTTAACAAACCTGGAGTAGCACATAAAAAGTGATACATATTTCAGCAACTAGATGAAATTTATTCTTAAACCGAGCAATGTAGCGTAGCTTACCAGAATATAACAAAGTACATGGGCCAGACATGAGCCTACAGAAAAAATGACATAATTCCATGGTTTCAAAGCATTCCACCCAGTGAGACATCTAATCCTATGGAAAGGAAAGAAAAGTACTTCCCAAGTCTGAAAGATAATTTCTTTCTATCCTTTTTTACTTTCTAGTACTTCCTATAAGGATGTCATGTTACATGAGTAAACATATATGCATCACAACTAAGATAATGCAGGGGTTCTCCAAAATGGCAAACTTCATTTCTTGCAATGAGACACCTCTTCAAAGGGATGCTGCACCTACACAGAAAGCCTAAGAAAATAATTTCAAAAAGGGATAAACCTTGTAAGCTAACTTTAGAAGATCTACTTAAGTTAATAGGCACTGAAGTTCAGTTTTCAGGTGCCTACCATCCTCAAACAGATGGGCACATTCAAATGGGACCCAATCCTTCCATAGCTGAGTCTGCATGCACTTGTTCAATGATTCAAACTACTAGAGAGATCCTATTCAATATTGTCATAGAATTAAGCCATGCCAATTCCATGAACTTTTTCCCAAATTCCTTTACTAGTTGATGCTCAACAACTTGAGGAGGCTGAAATATTTGCTTGGCAACATACAAGAAACATTCATAAAGATGTTAAAAAGAAGATTCACCACCAACAATGAAATATACAAGTCCAGAGCAGATTTGCATCAACAAGTTGTAGAGTTTTTTGAAGCAAACAAGGTGGTGTTTCATATTAGGCACAAATATTGCCAAAAGGCAAGTTTCAAAAGTTACACAGGAAGTATTCGGCCATTAAAATCTTTAAGGGTGTAGTAATCAACTCAACATGCCATTCAACCATTAAGGACTTTAAACCTACTTAATGACTTATTTACTAAGCGATAAAGAAATAAACCATTAAGCTCAGCCACTTCAACTGTACCCAGATGGCCCCTTAGTTCCACTGTTTATGTCTTTAGGGCTGCCAAATTACTAGGAATTATTCTACTTTCATGTTGAAGATGCCACTGTATCATTAGGGCTGTAAATGAAACAAATTTGGATCATATGAAGGCAGATCTGAATTTGAATCTATCAATATTCAAACCAAACCAAGTCTTACCCATTGGATTCAAATCAGACTTGGACCTGATATGGATATTATACCTCATTAACAAGACAAACTAAAAAAGGACCAAATATTATGGATAATTCACCAAATGTACTATAAAAGAGTTTGAATGTATGTTATATAAATGCATGCAACTTATACTGGCATCAAATCTTATCCTACTAATATTCATGATGCTCATTGTTGTATTTTTACTCAAGGCTGATAGGTTCAAGTTCCATAGTAAGTTTTGAAACCATTACTTCCATATAGATGCATGCATGTGTGATGCTATTAAAGAATCCCACATGATATGCAGAATATTGTGGCTTAGCTGCATAGCCTGCATGTATAGAAGGCTCTAAAAGAGCCAAAGAAAGACCAAAGAAGACAATAAACTGAATTAAAAAGAAATTATCTAAGGACCTACAACTTGAGACTTGAGAGAACATATGGTTCTTGATAGAGTGCAACAGCAAGAGGAGATTCATATAGTCAGCTACAAACAGTTGGGATTAAGTGTTTGTTTGAGTTGGATATGAGACAGTAAATTCTCTTAGAAGTTAGAAAGTTCTTAAATTTTTATTAGATCCTCACGATTTACTCAGTTAACAATTTTTAAGAGGGTCCTCAAAGATCAAGATAGGACTTTGGCTGTTGAGGGCCAACAGCTTGGGCTGTTGAGAATGCTGGGCATTTGCCCTCTTTTTTTTTTTGGATCAGCAACACAGAAAAGAGTTCATTAATTAGAAAAATCAGCTTACAACAAGAAGTTGTGAAAAGGAAAAGAAAAACAGCTTTAGAAGCTGACCCGATCCAAGATTATATTTGAGCCCAAAAATATGTGTGTTCTATGTACCCCTTGCTTGGCTAAGCTATCTGCCAAACTGTTGGCAGTTCTCCTCACCCATCTCACTAGGATTGACATGTTCTTTGATAGCCATTTAAATCTCCTGAATTCATTCCTCAAATGCCATGTCACCTGTGTTTTAAAAGTGCAAGGCGCAAAGCGCAAAAATACAAAAAAAAAAAGCTAAGAAATAAAAAAAAAAATGCATAAACATAATATTAATAAAAAAATATAAACTTAAGTTTTAAAAACCTATTATCTAAAATTAAAATGCATAAACATAACATGTAAAGTGTATTCAAATGAAAATTTAAAAATAAAATCAAATATATAAAACATTTTCAAACATGTAAAACCCACAATCTCTTTTTTTCCTCAATTGCATTACTTCAAGTAGCTAATGTGATGTAAAACATATTACATTCCTGATTCTACGAGAACCCCGTATTTGCTAATGTTGCTCATTCATTCATCTTAATAAAATATCTTCTTAAAAGGCAATTAAAATCACACAATCATTATTTTTTGTGTGAAAATTAAGAATTCAAGACCCTAACATGGACTTGTTTGGGCTTGCCTCGAGGGGCGTGGTCGGGGATCAAGGGGCGGAGCCCCCGGCTCAACCACTAGGTTCAAAAGAAGCAAAAAAACATAAAATTTTCAAAAGACGCACGCCTAGGCTAAGGCACAAGGCACACGCCTAGGTGCACCAGGCATGCGCTTTTCGAAAGTGTTGCGCCTAGGACCTGTGCAAGGCGCCTACCCTAAAATACGCCTCACCTGTGTGCCTCAAGCGCACCTTTTAAATCACTGCATGTCACCCCCTCCCACTTATACAATTGCCCTCAATATTCTTTTGATCAAAAAGACAAGCAGGGGTTAAATGGATTGATGTGTAATGCCCAAAAATGTTTGTTTGATAATTGAAATTTTAATTTCATTAATCAAGCATAATGGAACTTTACAAGCTTCCCTTGGAGAGGCATGAGGTGCAGCATCTCCTAATCAATACAGAGGATCATAAAAACAAATTACATAGCTGTCCAAAATAACCCATCCCTAGAGGACCCTTGTTTAGCAAGAGAGTCAGCCAAAGTCAAATAATTGAATATCTACAATTTAAAGACAAATCCGAAGATGTCAATTATGTGTCTGTGTAGAAAGATGATAAATAGTTGTATAACTGTATGGCCAAAAACAAAGGCACTTGAAAGATACAAAAAGACTGCATAGTCAGTGACAAGAAGACATGAACATGATTTACATCTATACATTTACGCATGCATACCCCCCATACATGATACACCAAAGGATGAATATAAAAATTGATGTCCAACCATTAACAGTAGAAATGAATGAAGGACAAACCTTCAAAATTTTTATAAATTAGATACCACCAAGCTAAGGTCCTTTAGTCCTACCAATAACAGAATGTAAACATGCTAATTAGTGCTTTAATGTCCTTTAGTCCTACATTCTTTTGCCTTATGAACAAAGCCTTGTTGGGTAACTAATTAGACATGGCATATAGAAAGATAATCCATGGCAACATGCTATCCATAGCAAATGTGACCAAGCTATGATGGATTGGGAATCATAAGATGTCCACATATCCTATGGTTCTGGTATTTGGATGGGTATATGCAAATCAAAGAAAACCTTATCAATGCATCTCTTACTTACCTGGGGAAGGAGACCACATCTATTTCTTGGACTTTTGTATGGAGATAGGCTATATATAAGGATTTTCTAGGCATGACGGTCTGGCTGCATGAATGCCAATGACAAGGATTGCTATAAGATAGTGAGCAATCCAGTGGTGTGCAACCCCAGGCTGAGGTTTTACATCGACAACTGGAAGGCTGATATTTTGTCTGGGACCTAGAGAACACCTGTAACTTCGTGAATCAGAGATTAGTCAGCTTCTTACCTGCTCAGCCATCGTGCCTTCACCTACAAGGCTTGATCTCACTTTCTGTGGCCTTATAAGAGAAGATGAATCACTCCCAAGGACCTAATGCTTGTCTTCATGGCCAATAAGAGGTTTTAGCCCTTAGGTCACAGTTTTAGACTTTGTGCACCATTACACTTTGCTGGTGTATGGAAAGAAAGAAATGAGCACATTTTTTTACAGTAACTACTCTTTCTTGGAAGTTATAACAGCAAGATAGATAGAATCTTTGCTCAGTGGTCTATGATATTGGATTGGAAGAACTTGAAGAATTTATCTTTGATCATTCAGGTTGGGAAAACATCATTTTTAATGATTCTTCTGATATATATATATAGCTAGTATAACTTGATATAGTAGCATATGGCCGTAGATGATTTTTTCTCACCAACCATGTTTTTTTACATATTCTTAATTCCATTCTTCTTTTGATAATGACTATTACAATATACACCATGTATCAGGGAGAGAGAGCAAGAACATCCTGCCAATAATAATGATCGAAGAAGCTCTCTTCTGGTCAAAGATGTAACCATTTCTCTCCTGCAAATACCAACAAAGAACACATGGAAGCAGGTTCCAAAAAATAATACTGTGCACAGTCAGTACCCCCTTACCACTTCCTTTGGTCGATCTATTAAGGAGAATTTACTAACAGGGAAGGTGACTAGACATATAAATCATGAAATCTAACAACTCTTAGCTTGTTGTTGTCAAACCAACCCCCTCCCTCAAAATATAATAAAAAGAATCCCTCCAATTATTTTCTGCTGCAATCTGAATCTGAAGGGAAAAAAAAACCTACGATAAGCGTAACATTCCTCTAATTCGCAGAGTGCAAAGAAATGGTAATTCAACATTTCTGAAGACTAATTTCAAGGCAATCGTGTAATACGTAGACGTTCTAACCCTGTAAAAAACCCAGCAGTTCAATGGAATCAGAACATCTTTTCCTCCTGCTGTCTCAAATTCACATCCACTTGAAACTTGAAAGAACTCAAAACGACATGAAGCTAAAGAAACCCAGAATAGTTGTTTAAGTGTCCCCATAGAAAACCCCCTTCATAATAATTAATACCCTAAGTTTCAAGTGGGTTTCCAGTAAACCCTAAGTGAGAAAGATCAAATACATATTACTGTTCACTCACGATTTTCTGCACAGAGGTTTCTTATTCTCTATATTGATGGATGAGTTTTTACTTTTGTTTTGTGTAAGGTTGAATTAATTGTCAATAACATGAAAATTGCAAACACAAAGACGCAGGCTTTAATTCAAATGGTAATATAAGAAGCATAGGATATCTCGCCACTCAGATCAGACCTTTTTAACATGGTTGATAGATCCGAAAATATAACAAATAGAAGATCAGCAGGTACCTTTGATGGAACTAAATCGATGTGCGAGTTCTTCAAAGAAATCAGTTGAGAGAGAGAGAGACTCCGAGATTAGTAGCTTTTATAAAGAGGATCGAATCCAGGGGAGAGAGAGGCACCCCGAGATTAGTAGCTTTTGATATTTATAAGGAGTATCGAGTTGGAAACTTGGAATTGGATTGGCCACCGGCAACTCAAGAACGTGTTGTTTGTGGGGCTTCAAATAAATCCGATTTGGTGTCGGATTCGGATACTTCATATTTGATGTTTACCAAATCGGATCGGATCGTTAATTATGAAAAATAATAGTGAGAATGATCGATACCCCCGTGTCAGAATTTGTAAGTAGGGCTATTCATGGGTCGGGTTGGGTCGGTTTATTGATGTTTTTTCCAACCGATCTGACCTGGTCAGGTTACCTAAAATTGAAACTGAAACTGATCCTGTGTTAAGCAAAACCGACCTGATCGGTTTCAATCGGTTTGGGTCGGTTTCGGCTCTACTTAATGGTGATTTAGTTGTTGTACAACCTATTAGGATAGAGACAACTTAGTTAAGTAAAAACTAAGTAGGTTTTAACTACTAACTATGAACTAATTACTAATTCAGTTCAGTTCAGGTCGGTTTCGGTTTTCATGTGTAAAACCGAAACCGAACCGAATCATCGGTTTATGATTTTTTATAACCCGAAACCGACCGGTGCTGAAGAAAACCCGGCCGACTCAGGTTGGGTTGGTCCAGGTTGGTCGGTTTGGTCGGATTGGGTCTTCTTATGAATAGCCCTATTTGTAAGATCAAAGTACATTTGGGGTAGGTGCCAGTTCGGAATTGATGCCAATTCATGGGCGAGTATGGGTACATAGGGTGTGGTTTTTTAATGCTTTGAATGTTTATAGTTGTGTAGTGGGAATCAAAAATCTGCATTGGGTGTATCTGTACTTCTTCGAAAATAATATATAATATATTTGTATATAATTATATATTATATTATAATATATTAATATAATATATAAATAATATAATTTATTATCTATATATATATATGTATATATCCATATAAATATATAAATATAAATAAATTAAATTAAATATCAATATCAATATCTATATAAATATATTAAGTTGAAATGTGTATGTAAAAAGGCCCGAGGACGAGGGAAAGGGAATCTAACAGTATTTTTTGCCTTTTTCTCATGCAAATTACAAAATTTCCACTCTCTACCAACTCTCTCTCTTTTGTTTTTTTTCTTTCAAATTACAAGAATGCCACTCCCTCCTACTGACTCTCTCTCTCTCTCTCTCTCTCTCTCTCGCTTTTTTTTCTTTCAAATTACAAGAATGCCACTCTATTTTTTCCTTACAAATTACAAGAATGTCACTCTCCCTCTCTCTCTCTCGCTTTTTTCTTTCAAATTACAAGAATGCCACTCTCTCTCCAACTAAGGGAGACCTCAGCTCAGCATCTCGGCTGCTAGGTGACCTGCGATCAAAGGTAGTCGAGTTCGAACCGAGCCGAGCTCAAACTTCTGAGCTCAAGTTCAAGTCTTTAATTCGAATCAAGCCCATGCTAGATGACACCTCGAACACTAAGGGAGACCTCGACTTGACACCTCAGTCACTAAGGGAGATCTTAGCTCAGCACCTCAACAACTAAGGGAGACCTCAGCTTGGCACCTTGTCAATTAAGGGAGACCTTAGCTCAACACCTCGTCTGCTAGGGAAACCTCACCTCGACACTTCAGTAGCTAAGGGAGACCTCGGCTTGGAACCTTGACTCGGCACCTCGACTGCTTGAGAGACCTGCAATCAAAGGTAGCCGAGCTCGAACTTTCGAGCTTTTGACTCGAGCCAAGCTCGAACTTGAGCTCAAGTCTCTAATTTGAATCGAACTCAAGCCTAATAGTTTATGAGCGAGCCCCTACAACACAAGGCCCCCTCTATTAGTAAATCTATTAAGTTGAAATGTGTACGTAAGAGGGCCTGAGGATGAGGGAAATGGAATTTAACAGTATTTTTTGCCTTTTTTTCATAGAAATTACAAGAATGCCACTTTCTACCAACTCTCTCTTTTGCTTTTTTTTTCTTTCAAATTACAAGAATGCCATTCTCTCTTACCAACTCTCTCTCTCTCTTACTTTTTTCTTTCAAATTATAATAATGTCACTCTCTCTCCTACCAACTCTCTCTCTCTCTCTTTCTTACAAATTACAAGAATGCCATCTCTCTCTCCTTATAAATTACAAGAATGCCACTCTCTTTCCAACTGACGGAGACCTCAGCTTGACATCTCGGCTGCTAGGGGACCTACAATCAAAGGTAGTTGATTTTGAACCGAGCCGAGCTCGAACTTCTGAGCTCAAGCTCAAATCTCTAATTCAAATCAAGCTCGAGATAGACGACACCTCGACCACTGAGGGAGACCTTATCTCTACACCTCGCCTACTAAGGAAACCTCAGCTTGACACTTCAGTAGCTGAGGGAGACCTCGGTTTGGCACCTCGGCAATTGAGGGAGACCTTGGCTTGGCACTTCGACTGCTTGAGAGACCTGCAATCAAAGGTAGTCGAGCTCGAACTTCCAAGCTTTTGACTCAAGTCGAGCTCGAGCTCAAGTCTCTAATTCGAATCGAGGTCGAGCCTTATAGTTTATAAGCGAGCCCCTACAACGCAAGGCCCCCTTCGCTAGTAAATCTATTAAGCTGAAATGTGAATGTAAACAAGTGTCTTCGGTGTCACGTCAGGTAAATTTTTGGGCTATATTGTAACCTGACATGGCATAGAAGCCAACCCTGGGAAAATCTAGGAATACTAGATATGCAACTTTTGTGGTCCATCAATGAAGTCCAAAAGCTCACAGGCCAGATAGCTGCCCTCAGCCGATTTATGTCCAAGTTGACAAGAAGGTGCCTCCCTTCTTTAAGGCCATAAAGAAATAAAAAGACTTTGAATGGACTGGGGAGTGTCATCTCGCCTTTAACGAACTCAAATAGTACCTCAACTCGCCACCATTATTGACAAGGCCTAAGCCTGGGGACGAACTCCTTGTTAGACAATGTATGCCCTTAGCTCCAATCAGATTGAGGTACTTTTGACACATTGTAAATGAATGAAGTACATAATTGATTCATGTTATTATGGTGTGTTTCTGTGTAATAAACTGGACACTTATGAGACTTGTGCTAGTTTAGAATCTTCACAACTGTTGGATAAACCTGGGGAGGTTTATCCTGCCAAGGCTGACACTAATGTGCTGCCAAGAAGGTTGGGGTGGCTTGTCTGAGCTACCAGGGTGAGACCTGAAGCACATGTAGTGTGGGATTGATTGAAACTCTAAACTGGACCATTTTCCAGTTGTGCCCTGAACCTTGGAAATAGATGAGAAAAACTGGAAAATTACACCTAACCCCTAGACTCGATTATGGTACTACACTAGGTGTTGAATTGGACTGTTTTTAATATGCCAATCAGTGAGATCCTTAGAGGGGGTCAAAACCTGGGTATGTTGGGGCAGTTTGAGAATTCACCTGAGTGTGTGATCATAGTGACATGATCAGCCCCTTTGTCGGACAAAGTGAATGGTCGGGGAATGCACTCTCTCTAATGGAAACCTAAACTATCGACAGTTGATTTCAAACTTGTTGAGATTTGTTTTGCAAAATATATTTATATATAGATATACATATATATTATGGTTCCACAAAATGTTTGCAAAAAGGTTTTAATTCCCGGGATCTATGTGAATAGAGAGTGCAACACTGCACCTTGTAGCCAATGGAAAGGTCATCTCTTGTCGGGCAGTGTTTGATCTTTATGGGCTTAGAGGTTAAGTGTAAGACCATTTAGGGTTATACCTGATGGGCTTGATGTAACCGTTTCTGGTCACGTACCAATTTTTGTGATGTATCATTTTTTTTTGGCTAAGTACCTCGTCATTTGACCTGCTCCCAGGTGGCCTGTGACTCAGAGGATGATAGAGCTCCCTAGTGGCGAACTGCTTGGTGATGAGCTACTTGGTGGCGAACTGCCTGGTGATGAGCTCCCTGGTGGAGAATTGCCTGGTGACGAGCTCCCTGGTGGAGAACTGCCTGGTGACGAGCTCCCTGGTGGAGAACTGCCTGGTGACGAGCTCCCTGGTGGAGAGCTGCCTGGTGACGAGCTCCCTGGTGGAGAGCTACTTGGTGACAAGCTCCTTGGTGGAGAACTGCTTGGTGACGAGCTCCCTGGTGGAGAACTGCCTGGTGATGAGCTCCCTGGTGGAGAGCTATTTGGTGACGAGCTCCCTGGTGGAGAACTGCCTGGTAACGAGCTCCCTGGTGGAGAGCTGCCTGGTGACGAGCTCCCTGGTGGACTCGTCATTTGACCTGCTCCTAGGCGACCTGTAACTCAGAGGGTGGTGGAGCTCCCTGGTGTAGTGCAACCCGACTGCCCTCTGCATGAGGTGATCTCCTCTCCTTTGTAGGCGGCGGGAGCTGAGAGACCTGCGAGAACTCCATCCTTTCCTCCTCTTTGTAGGTGGCGGGAGCTGAGGAACCTGCGAGAACTGAATCAGAGAACCCGGGGGTGTTTACCCAGCGGGGACTCTCCGATGCCTAAGTTAGCATTCTGATTGTAGAGAGCTCGGAGAGAAATGAGAGAGCTAGAGAGCAGGGATTACCTCCATTTTTCCATTCCCTCCCCTTGTCTTTGGGGGTCGGAGTCCTTATATAGTGGTGTCCTGTCAAATCAGGCGTAACAGCCTCTGTCAAGTCAGGCGTAACCGCCTCTGTCTCTCTATTGCGGCCGTTACTGTCAGAGATGGGGTGGCGGGTGCAGACGGCTGCTGTAGAGTACGGCTCTGCTAGTCAAGGGACAGTTCTCAGGACTGGCAGGCACGGCGCCGCCTAGCGAGAGATGTGGGCGTAGGTCTCCGGATCTGTCAGGTATAGTTGTCAGGCAGGAGATCTTCCTACGATACGCCAAGCTGTCCCTAAGTGTCGAGCTACCTGTAAGTGCCGAGCTCTTCGTAAGACGCCAGGCTGCCTGCGGAGTGGCCAGCTGCTTGTGGCGAGCTGCCTATGCCGAGCTACCTATAAGTGTCGAGCTGCCCCTAAGTGGCGAGCTCTTCGTAAGATGCCAGGCTGCCTGCGGAGTGGCCAGCTGCCTATGCCGAG